AAAAACACATAAACATAAGCAACAATTCAATATAAATAAAGAGATAAGGAGAAGATACATACCCGTCACCACATCGGGAGCTGCACGCGCCTCCTCTATCGTCAGCTGGAAAGCCCTGTTCTTCGCCGCAGTCGCATCTCCATCTCTAAATCAATCTCCCTCTCCCTAACCCCTCGCTATCATGTCTTCCAACGTCTTGCAGCTGGATCGGCTAACAAACTGTCGAATGTTACTCCTCAGCATCTCATGTTACTGGTCCTTCTTCATCTCCTCGTCTGCCACATACTGCCGAACCAGAAGTGCCCTCTCCCTGAACATAGCGGTGATCTCAGCCACAGTCTCTGTAGTCTGACGGAGATCCTGGAACTCTCATGCCAGCTCCTCAATCACCGGTGCAAACTCAACTCGGAACCTGGTCGAGAAATCACTCCAGGTCATCGAATGAATAACAAAATCATCTCTGATAGCACGCCCTACCTTCTCCCACCAATCACGCACCCTGTCCTTCAATTGGCAGGAAGCTAGTCTGACCTTGTCCCCCTCGGGACAACGGCTAGTACGGAAGGCGTTAGCAACATCTGCCAACCACCAGCTGCTCGCAATGGGGTCCCTCACCCCATGATAATTCGGCGCTTCACAAACCCGAAACTCCCTGAAAGTCAGGGAGTGCGTCCCAACCAAAGCCACAATCTCAGCACGAAAGGAGCTCAACCGCTCATCAAAAAGCTCCAGAATGCCCTCCTTGACCGAGCCAAAGATCACAGGAGTCTGCTCAAGGATAGTACGTGTAATCTCAGACGAGATGAACTCCCTCGCCTAGTCATCAAGCTACCCGGCTCCAAAACCCGAGCCTGAACCCTCCCCGGCAGCATAACTGCCCACTGGCCTGCCTCGCAATTCCACCATATTGAAAATAGATCATATAAATCATCAAAATATGCATCAAATATACACATCGGGGAAATCACAACTCCACAACCTCCTTGGCTTCGCTGCAACCCTCCTTGAAGCGAGTACGGATCATCTGCTTCCAGTATTACGGGCCCATACTACCTTCCACATCTATTTGTACTTTCCTCAAGAAGTGCCTTAACTCAGCCAGTTACTTTATATACAACAATTCCCTCACAATTAAGGCTCCCAACACTAAATCTCATCCTAGGTGTTCCTAGGACAAACCCCACATCACTCTCCGCCATCAGTTGCAGATGGAACTCCCGCTAGCTTCCTCTAACTAGCTCACGAATACAATTACATATTACAAAAACTAGATAATTATTTGAATGAGAGGTCTCATACTACAACGGTTGGAATCAAACAAGAGCTGCGCAATATAGTTAAAACCTAAACCTCTAAAATTATTTAGTTCCCATAATATGTAACTTAGCATATTCGCTTACTAATTAGCTGAGGCCACCTAAAACTCCTAAAATCACAAAGCAAGCAGCATTCAAGAATCAAGTAATCAGAACCAAGCATACCTTAATCAGGCCATCCTATTAATGACTGATCAGTACTAGCATGCAAATCTATAAGCTTATACAGCAGGCATACAAAGTCTTCTCTCCTATTTCCTTAGCCCTAAACTAGCATGCGATCACAATTCACAGTTCAAACATATCATAAACATGTATGGGTATTTTGGGATAACATACTTCAGCTTGGCTGATTGCACGCACCACACCCTTCCTTATTTTAGAAAACCTACCAAATCCTCGGTTTGAGTTCAAACACCCCCAAGAGTGTGTTCGAATCCCTAAAACCAAGGCTCTGATACCAACTTGTAAAATCAAAAAATCTGGTCCCAAAAATTTTGTTTTTATAATAGATAAAATAGTATTTTCAAATATCATCCATACATCTCAACAAAACCAATGTATCAAATGTAATCAAAATCAAAGTAAATATCAAATGTGGAATCCTAATGGTGTGTGCGATGCAGTCAACTAGAGCTTTTCCCCTTGGAACCAGAAGTAGCTAAAACACAAACAAAAACCCGTAAGCACAAAGCTTAGTGAGTTCCCTAAGATACCGCATCCCAACCATATCACATAACGGGCCCCGTCCAAAGAGATACGGGCCCCACCCCTACTCGCATAACAGGCCCCGCCCCATGAGATACGGGCCTCGCTGACACTCGCAATATGGGCCCCGCCCAATGAGATACGATCCCCGCCCAAACTCGCAATACGGGCCCCACCCAATAAGCATACATATACGAACACATACAAGTATCACACAGACAACAAGTATATCAACATAATCATCAAAGGTCAAACTTCGTACCTTAGACCCGATAAACCTTGGTGAGAAACCTCACCTCGAATCCTGAATGATAGGTGACTAGGTCTCAGCTTCGAATATCAGCTCTACCTAACCCCTAAACAGAAACAATTCCTTAGATACAACTCAGAATGCCTCAACACCCCCTATAGGTTAATCTTGATCAAAGTCAAAAGTCAAAAGTCAAGGTCAATGGTCCGTGTTGACCCAACATGTCGTGTCGTCCTTCAACACGCTGTGTTTCCCCATCAACTACAAAGTCGGAGAAAACCAAGCCAAAACGCCGTGTTTACCAATAAACACGCCGTGTTCGCCAGAAATCCAACAGCTTAATACATTAAGTTTCCTACAACGAATCCAAGGGATCCAAAGCTCAGATGTCGACCAAAATACTATCTAGAAGGGCAAAGTTTCCAACTTTACCCCTCTGAACCCCCAAAATGTGTCCAAAACCCAAACCCTAGGCTTAATAGAGTGAGGGCTTAACCATTAAGCACTTAATCTTCAAAGACATAGCCCCAAAATGCAGATCTGACTCCCTAGAGCTGGAAGAACACGTAAAGTTGTGAACTTTACATTCATGCATGCCAAAGGGAAGCTCTAAATCTCAAGAAGGGCTTAATAAAGGACTTAATGCATGCATGAGACCTAGAACCTTGTAAAGCTTGCACCTTTAAGCCAAAGGAAGCCACAAAATGATCAGATCTAACAGGACATCCCATGAAACAACTTAACTCCTTAGACAACTTACAATGAGCCTAAAATCATAACAAAACTCCATAAAAGAAGATCTAATCAACAACAAAGCAAGGTATGAACTTGATACCTCAAAGAGAGTACAACAAGTGGTGATATTCTGGATATATGGCCTTCCTTCAGAGCTAGGCACCTTCAAACTCTAAATATCCTTTAAATGAGCACAAAACTCCAAAAAATCCACTCAAAACTTCAAGATCACCACCAAGAAAGCTCAAAACTCGATTTAGGGTTTTTGTTAACAAATGAGGCTAGTAAGGAGGCCGGTCAAGGGGACTTAAGGCCTTTAAATAGGGTGCAACACCCTAAAAATTAGGGTTTCCATCCCAGCTGCCAACACGCCATGTTGAGGCACCTCAACATGCCGTGTGGGCTCATTAAACTCCTCGGCCAAAGACATCTCGACACGCCGTGTTAAGGCTCCAACATGTCGTGTCCCAAAGAGAAAATATAAACAACTTGGAAATAAATTCATACCAGGAAATCAAGTGTTACAATTCTCCCCCACTTGAATCAGACTTCGTCCTTGAAGTCCGCCGACTCAAACAACTCTTGGTAGTGCTCCCTCATCTCATCCTCCGGCTCCCAATTCCATTCTGATCATTTGCGGTGCAGCCACTGCACCATCACTAACTCCACAACCACGTTTGAACCTATCTGTGTGTGTGTGTGTGTGTCTATATATATATATATATATATATATATATATATATATATATATATATACATATAAGTTCAATTGAGAAAATAATAAAGGTTGAGAATGGAGGAATCATTCTCAGTCACTCATTTATTTTTGCTGCAAAAGCCTCCATCGTACCGGCGGAACTAGGAAAGGCATACATTGTGTTTTCCAACAAAACATGTTTCCTTAAAGTATACTAATCATTACCTTAATATATACAAAAACATATTTTTTCATTTCTTTTAATTTTTAAGGATCTATTTTTATCGAAAAATGTTATATTCACATATAAATAAAACGAGTATTAGCTTTCCTCACAAGTTATATTCATATATTAAGAACACATCTATTATAATTTTGTTACAGTTCATTTGTTATTCATATATGAGTAAGTAATTCAAATTTTCAAAACAATACGTCTGTTATTAACATACTACTTATTCATATATAAAATAACTAATGAAGTGTAACAAAAATCTGACAAATGTTTTAATCATATATGAATATTACATATGACGACAACTAATACACGTTTCATTCATATATAAATATAACATGTGGCGAAAGATGATATGAAAAAATTTATTTTGGTACAGAAAACTTTATTGTGTGTTATATTCATATATGAACGATACTTATACTATAAAAAATTTAAGCATACGTTTTATTCATAAGTGAATAGCGAATGTACTGTAATAAAAATCTAATGCATTTTCATTCGTTTATAAATAACGAGAGCTGAAACTCTAAAAAACATAATTTTTATATTTTATCTTAAAACTATTTCAATATGGATGTCTATTTATAGATAATAAAAAATCATGAAATTTGATATATTTAAATTCATTTTTCGATAAAAATAGTTTTCTAAAAAAATAAAAAAAATAAAAAAAAATATGTTTTTGTGTCTATTAAGGTAATGATTAGTATAGTTTAAGGAAACATGTTTGGTTGTAAAACACATGGTTTTTTGACACTGTAGCACATCAATGTTTGGCCAATTTGCACATTTAGTCACTAACGTTTTTTATGCTCAATTGATCCTTAATTTTAGTAAATACTGATAAATTAAATGAATGAGAGAAAATGTTGCCGGTTTAGGGTCACTGCTGACGTGTATTGGCTTATGTAGTCAACCATTTGACCATGAAATATTATAACGTGGAAACCTTCCTTAAATGAACATTATATTGAACAATCAACGATACATTGTTACCCCAAATTAGGTCAGTGCCTTCCTCGCGATACTCTACAATCAATTGATATAACCAGAGCAATGTCTGCCTCCTCCAGTCGATCGATCATCCTCTTGCGTGTCGGAAACCTTCGTGATGATGAACCTTGTCCACCTTGCGATTGTCAAGACGCAATAAGCGTGGAAAGGACTGCCTGGACCGACGATAATGTAGCTCGTAGGTTTTGGAGCTGCCAAAACTCTTTGGTGAGTAATCATTTTGTTTACTTACACCGTATTTGTTAATTTGAGCTAGGATGTTGACATTTTCATTAATCGTAACCCTAACCCTAATTCTAGTATTCCCTTTTAATCAGTCGGCTGAAGATCCAAAATGCAAGTTTTTTTATGTGGAAAGACAAAGAAATCGAAGAGGGTTACTACAATGACCAGCTTCGCAAGATGAGGTTTGAGTTGAAAAGGAAAGAAGAGTTCAGTGAAGTTTCGAAGGTTCAAAAGAAGTTGGTTAATCTGCAGCAAGTTATGGAAGCAGATAAGCAAGTGTTCGAGACACATTTGATGGAGTTGATGAAGAAAACAGTCTGCTGAAGTGTGGGATCTTTGTTATGGTCATTGTATTCATTTCCATGTGGTTGAAATGCCCTTGAAAAGTGAAGCTGATCAAATAGGTATTTATGGTTGATGGTATATAATTCCAAACAGTTTTTTGGAAAGTATATGGGTGGATGTAGAAATTTGTTTGCTTTTTTGGGAAGTGTATGGGTGGATGTAAAAAGTTGTTTGCTTTTTTGGGAAGTGTATGGGTGTATGGGTACATGGTTATGGTTAGATCCTAGTTGTAATGTATAGTCAGGTTTTTGGTTGAATGCTTGTTTGATCAATATGTGTATGGGATGGTACATGTAATGGGATGACAGTAGATGGGAATAATAGTAATGACTTTTTGTAGATTCAATGAATGATACATTCACCATATGTCATTCCAGAAAAATCGTGATCATTAAAAGTGAAATTGATACCATGGTTATACGAGAAGGGATTTCTAAGAGAAACACCTTTGAAGTTAAACTCCACTATAGGGTAGAGTCCATCAAGGTTTGGCGTCGATCTAGACATTGTGGGTTGGTTGACTGCTCACTGACTTTGATCGGAGAAAATGACTTCGAACCCTAGGTTTAGTGCTTTGTAATCACTGTGAGATGAGAAAAAGGAAGAAAGAAGGAGGGTAGTTGAGTGTAAATAAATGTATATATTTTAGCTTCTAAATCTTACATGGATAAAATAAATGAAATATATAATGTAAACTTACTCCACGTAAGCAATACCACCGGTTGTTCCGTTTACCGGGTACATAAGTGGTTAATTGGTCGGTATTTACTAACATTAAGGATCAATTGAGCACAAAAAAAACGTTAGTGACTAAATGTCCAAATTGACCAAACATTGATGTGCTACAGTGTCAAAAACCCTAAAACACGTGTGTATCCGTTACCCATTTCTACCCGTACACCTAAGTGTTTTGCGACAAAATAAATGTGTGGCTGAGAATGATTCCCCCATTCTCAACCTTTTTTTTCTCAACTGAACCCTCCTATGTGTATATATATATATATATATATATATATATATATATATATATATATATATATATAATTCGGTTTTAACAAGAACCATATATGTAATGATAACAAAGGAAACAATTTTGTGTGTCGATCCAAAAATATAAAAAGCTAAAAACAAGTTAATGGTTGCGAATATTTATAAATTATCTTGAAAATCTTTGAACTTTAGGCAATGATCGTTAGAAGTCGGCAAACACATCCAAAGGTGGTGAATGATAGGTAATGATTTGTTTGATTACTTAAAAAATAATTATATAGGAATATATAAAGAATATTTAAATCATAATGGCTAAATGCTAGCGGGATTATGCTTAAACCATAATTATTAACACCCCTCACAGTTTGATCAGGATGAGACGATTAAAATCGAAAAAATAAACAAAACATAAAAAACATAAAAAACAAAGATGAACATAATTGCATTAACGGTGGCAGAGTTCCGATGATTACGACTAACAGTAAGTTTCGTCGTATAATAAGAGAGAAGAAGTGGACGGTAGGATGCAGTGTAGTTTTTGAAGAAGAAGAAGAGAGTCGGCGGCAACAGTAACAGTCATGGAGCCGACGATAGATGATCCGACGAAATGTAGCAAAAGAGACATAGGGCTCGAGTTGCCGCTAGCAGAGCCAATTCCAGCGAGATCGACGACTACAGTGTTGAGAGAGAGAGAGAGAGAGAGAGAAAGACCACTTCATATCAAAGATTGGTCGACTGGGAAGGTACCATCAAAGGGATGCAGCAACACCATCGGAAGAGGATGACTCGAAAAAGTGATTTGGAGAAGAAGAAGAAGAAGAAGAAGAAGAGGTCAGTCTAGGAGAGGGGTAATCCGAGGAGGAGACATAAGGGTCGAAGGCAGGGTTCATCCGAGTAGGAGGTACAAGTAGACGAGGCAGTACACGAATTCGAGGAAGACACTTTGGTTTGGTGTTGATGCCCGTGTTATAGTTTTGGAGGAGAAAGACGAAAAGGAAAAACGTTGAGCATAACTAAGGCACTTCCGACGACTATTATAGAAGGTCGGCGAAGGGAGAGGGCGGCGTCTAGTGTTTATGGTCAGCAATAGAGTTTTAACATAGAGCTCTGAGACCATGATAGAAATGACTTGTTTGATTACTTAAAAGACAATTACATAAGAATATATAGAGAATGCATAAACCCTAGTGGCTTTTTGGGTTTTTATTCAAAAATTATTTCAAAAACATAAACAATGCAACGGAAGACTTAAGATTTGAAGATGTCATTAATTTCTAAATTAAGAGCTCTCTAGAAGTATTCACTAAGCAAGACAATACCACCATATATGCTAGTATAAAACTTGTAAAATGTTGTTCTTAAGCTTTAAGACATATTACGAAAGATGCCTAAAGTGAACCAACACTTTAAGCCTTCACTTGTAACACCAAATTACAAAAGAGAAGAAGAAAGAGAGGGCCTTTATGCTCTTGGCAATTAGGAGAAAAAGAAGAGGAAGATTTTTTTCTAAAACTAACTCATATGTCTTCCATGCTCTAGTTTATATATTAAGACCAAAAATAAGAGTAGACCATAAAGCAAAAGTAAAGGCCTTTTCTTACAAGTATGGAGTAAATGAATACACAATTAAACACTCCATGCAACATGTCGTTTAATCATATAACTAGTGACGTATAAGATGCATGACTTTAAGTATTAAACAATTCATAAAGAATTCTTGTCTCTTTCACTAGATGTTGTGTGTGTGTATATATATATATATATATATATATATATATATATATATATATATATATAACAAATAACTAGTCATATATAAATAAACTCTAACTAGTTTATTAAGATATTAATATAACTTATAACTAATCGTGATATATGATGTATTTCGTAAGTTGTTATTGCTCTAATAAATATTATTTCTATAAATAAAAAATTATGAATTAGTAAAATACTAGGTGTAAGACCCGTGTATTACATGGGTTTATTAAAAATAAAAATTTAATATCAATATATAAACATGAAATATTTTATAAAGTAATATTTTACATAACATAATGTAATCTTTTGGAACATTTGCAAAAGAAATTAAATCGTTTGGAGTATTTATGAGAATTTATTATGAAATTAATAGGATGATTTTATTTCCTTATAGAACCCATTACAAATTTATGGAATTTTATTTTAAGAAAATGGAAATCCCTAAAGAATGACAAGTGGAAAATAAAAATTCTAAAACTCTCACAAAATGACAAGTGTCAAAATGAAGGAGAATATGACATGTGGCAAAATGTTATATTCACATATAATAAACTCTTTACAGTTTACATCAACTATCGTCACATGTTATATTCACATATAAATAAAACGAGTATTAGCTTGCCTCACAAGTTATATTCATATATATGAAGAACACATCTATTATAATTTTGTTACAGTTCATTTGTTATTCATATATGAGTAAGTAGTTCAAATTTTCAAAACAATACGTCTGTTATTAACATACTACTTATTCATATATAAAATAACTAATGAAGTGTAACAAAAACCTGACAAATGTTTTAATCATATATGAATATTACATATGACGACAACTAATACACGTTTTATTCATATATAAATATAACATGTGGCGAAAGATGATATGAAAAAATTTATTTTGGTACAGAAAACTTTATTGTGTGTTATATTCATATATGAATGATACTTATACTATAAAAAATTTAAGCATACGTTTTATTCATAAGTGAATAGCGAATGTACTGTAATAAAAATCTAATGCATTTTCATTCGTTTATAAATAACGAGAGCTGAAACTCTAAAAAACATAATTTTTATATTTTATCTTAAAACTATTTCAATATGGATGTCTATTTATAGATAATAAAAAATTATGAAATTTGATATATTTAAAATCATTTTTCGATAAAAATAGTTTTCTAAAAAAAAACAAAAAAAAAATATGTTTTTGTGTCTATTAAGGTAATGATTAGTATAGTTTAAGGAAACATGTTTGGTTGTAAAACACATGGTTTTTTGACACTGTAGCACATCAATGTTTGGCCAATTTGCACATTTAGTCACTAACGTTTTTTATGCTCAATTGATCCTTAATGTTAGTAAATACTGACAAATTAAATGAATGAGAGAAAATGTTACCGGTTTAAGGGTCACTGCTGACGTGTATTGGCTTATGTAGTCAACCATTTGACCATGAAATGTTATAACGTGGAAACCTTCCTTAAATGAACATTATATTGAACAATCAACGATACATTGTTACCCCAAATTAGGTCAGTGCCTTCCTCGCGATACTCTACAATCAATTGATATAACCAGAGCAATGTATGCCTCCTCCAGTCGATCGATCATCCTCTTGCGTGTCGGAAACCTTCGTGATGATGAACCTTGTCCACCTTGCGATTGTCAAGACGCAATAAGCGTGGAAAGGATTGCCTGGACCGACGATAATGTAGCTCGTAGGTTTTGGAGCTGCCAAAACTCTTTGGTGAGTAATCATTTTGTTTACTTACACCGTATTTGTTAATTTGAGCTAGGATGTTGACATTTTCATTAATCGTAACCCTAACCCTAATTCTAGTATTCCCTTTTAATCAGTCGGCTGAAGATCCAAAATGCAAGTTTTTTTATGTGGAAAGACAAAGAAATCGAAGAGGGTTACTACAATGACCAGCTTCGCAAGATGAGGTTTGAGTTGAAAAGGAAAGAAGAGCTCAGTGAAGTTTTGAAGGTTCAAAAGAAGTTGGTTAATCTGCAGCAAGTTATGGAAGCAGATAAGCAAGTGTTCGAGACACATTTGATGGAGTTGATGAAGAAAACAGTCTGCTGAAGTGTGGGATCTTTGTTATGGTCATTGTATTCATTTCCATGTGGTTGAAATGCCCTTGAAAAGTGAAGCTGATCAAATAGGTATTTATGGTTGATGGTATATAATTCCAAACAGTTTTTGGGAAAGTATATGGGTGGATGTA